TTTTAAGCGACACAGCGCCCAGAATGAACTGCAAATCCTTTGGACTCCCAAAAGTAATTATAAACTGTCAAAGATGGAGTTTGCACTTTTCAAACTGCGTACATTGTAAGAATGCATGCATGAAAACAAGACATTCTTTGCCATGATGGAGTGTTATTATTATTGTGTTATTATTGTAGTTTTGTCTCGAGAGTTTTCCAATTCCTTCTTTTTAACTTTTGTCGCTAAATAATCCGGCCAAGGAAACCAAGGTTGCAGGGAGTCCCCGAAGACGAAGCGCGCCCACGGCAACCCCCCTTGGTCACGCCTTCTGTCTCTGATAGGCTATTCTTGTCATGGTGTGACAACTTTTAAAAATAAAATTCGAGACACAAGACTTCCAAAGATCATTTCAATAATATTCTTCTGTCAGATCAGACAATTTATATTTGAACAAAAATAGCAGCAATGCAGGCTGGAAGACGGACGGATTAAAAGCAGAACACGTAACCTGTCTATAGTAGACATATGCGAGGCCTGCCCAGCTCCGGATTGATCGCTCATCATCATAGCTTTTCACACGGCGAAAAACGCGTCCGCGTGCGTGCCCGCGTGCGTGCCCGCGTGCGTGCACGCAAACAACCTGCACTGTCATTTAGATTCCAAGATGGCGGCGGGTCAGCGCGCCAGACGGCGTTGGCGCGTGTGAGCGAGCGGCGATGGACTCGCACGTATGCGAGGATGTCAATGAGAGAGGGAGAGAGAACACACACACACACACACACACACACACACACACACACACACACACACACACACACACACACACACACACACACACAGACTCATATGCACATGCACACACGCATGGCGGTGTTGACAGGTGGCTGTGGTAAAGAGGTGGTCCCTGAGCTGGGGTCCGCCTGTCTCTGGCTGCGGCAAAGAGGAATAAAAAGCTCCCGGCAGCTGTCGCCCTAATTCCTCTAACACGCCGCTTGTGCTCTGATTAGAAAACAGATCTGGCCTCTAATTTACTCCTGACACCAACTAATGCGAAAATATCTCAATCGCCACGGAAGAGGCGGGCAGTGGCCACGGGTGTGGCGGCAGCTGTGGTCCGAGTGAGCCCAACAGGTCAAGTGAGACGCCTCGCGAGGGGGGTGCTGCCTGCCAACTTCCTGGAAACATCCACGCCTGATTTATTCGCTTCCTCATTCCCTGTCACCTTTGGCAAGGCATTTGATTTCGAGCCTGGAATGTTTAGAAACGCTCCCGTGGGATCCAAAAAGTCGATCCACAATTTTGGAACTAGCCAATTTCACACAATTCTGCAAAGACGGCTTTTTTTCGATGTTGCCGGTTTGGTGTGGAAAGGTACCGGACATATAGTGGGGTTTGACTGGCGAATTTCCCAGCTCAAAATTGCCACATTGGAGGCCAAACAGTAGAAGTCACACATTTTTACACATAACCTAGCTGCCACAACTTTTACACTTTTATTGGATTTCAATATAGACTCTAAGAGGGATGTAACCAAAAAAAAAAACGATTTGAAGTGAAAAATCGGTTTTGATTTAAAAAATGTGAGTGCATTGAATCAAACCAAATGCACGGTATTGCATCACACTCTATGTATCAAAATACCGACAAAACAAAACACACCGTGCAAGTTTCATACACACACACACATATATACACATATATATATATGGAAAAAAAAAGTCATCATAATGTAATTTCCTCAGGTACATGTCAAATACCGCAATAATATCACGGTGGCAAAATTCAATACCCGTATCTTAACTTTTACGGAGTCTAACTTTATTATGGCAACATTAAAATAAAGTAAGAGAATGTAAATAGAGCAACTACACTATACAGGAAACCACATCATACTTTATGTGTACATGAAAAAGTTGAACCAATAAAGAAATCCAAAGTGATATTCACTTCCCACAGAGGAAGAGGAGGTGTCAAGCTGTGTGTGTGTGTGTGTGTGTGTGTGTGTGTGTGTGTGTGTGTGTGTGTGTGTGTGTGTGTGTGTGTGTGTGTTGACGGGTCCGGCCCAGCAGGGGGCAGAGGTGTGATGCGAGGGAAGTGGGAGGTGACAGCTCGGTGTCACATGATGGCACACTGGGTGTCACCTCGCTCGGGACCGCCAAGACCCAGAGAGACAGACAGACAAGGAGGCGGGGAGGGAAGGGGAGAGCATGACGGCCATCTTGATGCTACACTAAATTGGGCAAAAGTATTTGGACAAGTGCCCTTTCCACCTACGGAAAGTGACCAACGAGGGCAAAATGGAGTTGGTTGTAGCTGTGGTGGCTTTGACATGATGTTGCGATGTGTCTATAGGCGTCCTTGTACACCATACGAATTCAAGCAGAATAGAAGGAAAAAAAAAAGGGCCGGGGGATCAATGTTCAGTCTCACGTGCATGTTTTTGGACTAGACTACCTGGAAAAAAAACCCACACGAGCATGGGGAGAACATACAGGCACAAAAGAGGAAGGCCGGAGATGAGATTTAAACTCAGAACCTCAGAAATGTGAGTCAGAGATGCTAACCCCTGGCCACCACCATAAACACTACTTTTAACCAAATAGTGTTGATAGTCAGAATTTCGGCTACATGATGTTTGTTTTTCTAATGTGTGTTTCTGCTTTCTCTTTCTTTCTCTTCTGTGACGACTACATATGTGTGTGTATGTGCGCGCATGTGTGTGAAGCGGTGTGTTTAAAATCCTCTCTTTTTTTATTTCCTCTTCTGTCTCTTCTATGGGTGTCAGGGGACTTGCTTGGCATCTCTCCCTGCTTTTAATTCTCACTCGGCAAACTGCTGCTGTCTGAAGGCAAGCTGGCATCACGTATACACACACACACACACACACACACACACCGCTTCACACACATGCGCGCACATACACACACATATGTAGTCGTCACAGCACGCAATGTTCACCAATGCACTGGCATGCATAAACCCTCCTTTCTCCTCATCATCTCCTCAAAAAGACACGCCACGAAAGAAGACAACCCACGCATTCGTCCCACGTCTGACTCCGGTGCGCCGTTTTTGTGACTGTGTGTGTGGAAGGTGTTTAAACACACGCAGCAATGAGAGGTTACAAGTGGAACTCAAAGAGACTAGCGCAAATACACACACGCACTCACGCACACACACGCGACTAGATGAAACGATGCTTGCAGCCTCCCTGGAAATGTGCAACACGCACACACAGACTGACAGAAGCTGACGCACAAATAGACACAGAGCGTCGCTGCGACTCAGAATACAAATCCAGCGTGATAGCAAACACAAACGCGCTCGGCGAGCCCTTCGAGCGTAAAATCAAGGAACTAAAAGGACGCTGTTGGTTCATTGCCGTCCCTTCGAGCTTGAGTGTTTCTCTCAGAATAAAGCACCTGTCATCAGAGGGAAGCTCTCACACACACAAACACGTACACATATACACTTCATCAGCCTGACTTCAAAAAGCGAGGGATAAATAAGTTAAGGACAAGACCGATGGGGATGAATAAATAACACGAGGGAACCAAACAGGAAGCAGGAAGCAGGAAGGCAGTCGACTAGTGTATCACACGCACACAAAAACACACACGCGAACACATGCCCACCCTTCCAATCTCATTTAGCTCTGTCTTGATATCCAGCAGCACCACAAATGAGATGGAGGAATGTGCATGTGCAGCGTTCCCTCACTAGACAGACCTGACTAAATGGAGCTCCTGCAGTCGCTTCGACATAGTTCCTGATGGCACCCACCAGGTGGCGGTATAACACAAACATATGGGTATGCAGGGAAACGCTTCAGTAAGATACAGTAATATTGGGTGTTCTTTACAGAGGATAAAGAATAAGTGCCTGTGAGTATTGTTATATTTTCTGTTTTCATGTATCGCTCCACCGTTTGTGCTAAACTTTTTTTGCTTGTATCTTGAAAAATCTCAAGACACCGTTGTATTTAAAAACAAAACCAAAAAAAAAAAAAAAAAACGTAATGTTCGGGTATCGACAGCACATCATGAAAATAATGAACGTGAATGGTTGTCTGTCTCGACAGTATATTTGCCCTGTGATTGACTTGCGACCAGTCCAAGGTGTAATCTGGCTTTCTCCAAAAGTCATCTGGATAAGCGGTGATAGATAGATATCATATCACCATATCGATTTGTTGTGTGTGTGTGTGTGTGTGTGTGTGTAACTATAAGATGAGCAACATTTTATTTTTTTAAGAGGGGGACACAGGGCGTGAGTATGAACACACATATGCAAATGAAGCGGGGTTATTATTGTGTTGCTCATCAAGCAGGGCGCAACGCGGACATTAATAGACTGATGAATATGCATGCAGAATTTGTTAATTAAGCTAATTATTCCGCCGCAAAATGCATTCGTCTTCCAAGGACATCTTCCCCAGAATTCCAACCTGCTCCGCTCATTAGTCATGCGATAGTTTACACCGGGCGGCGGGACAAGAGGTGGCGCAGGGAGGGGCCACGCAGTCGGGGGGCGTGAGGGTGGGAGGGAGTTTTTGACGCAGACACAATATAAGGTCATCGTGGCTTTGAAGGAACGTGGCGAGAACCCCTGAAAGGCGTATAATGGAGTTTTAATGGCAGCCTGGCCATTCATCAGCCTCTCAAAAAAAGTGAGAGGTCAATGAGGAAGACAAAAAAAAAACCCCCAAAAAAACAGGGCTCTATTCGCTTACAGTCGGACGTGCCAGACACTCGCACCCGCTAATTCCCCCCTCTTCGCTGCTTTTCCTCTAATTGCTTATTAAAACCCTCTTAAATGAACTTTTTGTGCCAACTTTCCAACACATTAATTAATTGTTGTAGCCAATTAAGTGTCGCTGCGCAAATGAGCTTCAGCACAAATGGTCCTGCAGGGCCCCCGTCAAAACCCCACACACCCCCACCCCAACACACACACACACACACACACACACACACACACACACACACACACACACACACACACACAAAGCTACTCACGCGGGCTCACCAGCACCACCAACTTGGCTGACTGCTTTCCCATCAGCCCCTCTGCCTTAAAGCAACGTCTGCACGGGAAGTCGAAGAGCAAGGCGATGAAGCCTGGTGGAAATGCTGCGTCATGCCGAGGCTGACTCTGGAAATGTCGGAAGGAGATTAAAAACAAATCAGCGGCCATTTACCACTTAAAGGACAGAGTCATGATGCGATGCATTGTGAGATCGCTAGGTCGAGTGCATACTATATTTGGTAAAATGGTAGAGTTAACTCACAAGATATCACGACAGCAGCAATATCAGAATAGAGACACGATACGGCCATTGTGTTACATATTTTGTCAACGATACCGATAATGGCACAAGACAGCAATTGTGCAATGGCTGAAGAAATCTTTTTTTTTTTTTTTTTTGAAAAACAACATTATGTATATACACAGTATATGTCATAGTGGCAAAAATTCATATAGCTAAATAAGTTCGCCAAAATAGTACCAACAGCTTTCAGCGTGCAACTTCCTGGATGGTAAATCTGCCTTAACATCTCAGCCAGACTTGGATTTATTCCAAAAAGCGGGAAGCCGTTATCCCGGATTACCTGACCTGCCGCCTGTGACATCAGCACACATCTGCACCTCCTAAAAACTCCCAGTGTGGCCTCGCTGCTGTGGAGCGATGGCGAAATAATAATGAGCATATGTGTGTGTGCGTGTGTGTGTGTGTGTGTGTCGTGGCAGACGCTTCTCTCAAGCAAAACTATAAAGTGCGGAGCGGAAGTGAGACACAGTTAGGGTGTCGATAAAACACACTGTGTGTTCTCGCAGTAAAGAATATTTCACTGCTGGGAATCATGGCAGACATTTTTAAGGCGGGGGTAGATGACATCTATAAAGTGTCTTCGTTTGAACATAATTATCGATACAGAGACAGACAGGCACAGTGGATGGATGAAGTGGTCGGCAGACAAGATGGGCAAATGGACAGACGGATAAAGGAAGGGATGGATGATGGAGAGACAGATAGATGGATAGACTGCCCGTTGGACGGATGAATTTACAGACAGAATTATGAAAAGATGCATCATGGCAAGGCAGACGGACAAAAAGACTGATAGAGGGGTGGAGGAATGGACGGACAGCTAGGATTACTGACAGACGGATGGCCAGGCGGACAGATGATGGACAAGCTGACTGACAGATATGGAGGAGACAGAAGGATACACAAATGGAAAAATGGATGGATAGATAGATAGATAAATAGACTTTGACCTTGATCAAACTTAAATGTCACGGTGGTGCACCAGTCAGCCATCTTTGTTTTTTTTACCCCCATGTTATAGATCACCTTTGCTCTTCCATCATCCTGAGTGAGTTTGCCGGCAAATGAAATTGCGCTCGCTGTCCAACCCCGCATTGTTTGCCGTGGAAACATGAAGAACGACTACGGAGATTGCCGCTAAATGCCATCCATAGCTTTGGCCATTAGCCTTTGTTCGCCGTCAGCTTTTAACGAATCGCGCCAATCGTTTAAGTGGCGAACACATTTGGGCTAGCGAGGGAGTTGATCCCATTGAAAGCAAGACACCTGACAGACCGCAGCTATTGTTTGTCAAGCCCGTCGACAATCGCTCAAAATGGAGGCCACGTTCCATTACCATGTCGCCTGTGTGCGGAATGGAGACAGCATACTCCAGCCTGGCAAGTGTGGCACATTTATGGGCATCCCCCCCCTCGCCCCCCCCATAAGGTGCCCTTCTGATTGATGGCGCACGCCTCCTTCTCCTCGCCCTGCTGATTTATTCGCCCGGTCTCTGTGACTTGGCAGCGGCGGTGCCCACTCCTCCCTACAGACGCATTCACTATTATTTCCAGTCCCGGCGGGTGAAGGCATCAGACAGAAACATACACAATAGTCATGCACGCGTGCACAGCTGCACACACACTGTCTGGTGTCACAGGCGCATACAGTGAGCTGGTGCTGGAGGGCAGGTGAGCTGCTCAATGAATGCATCTTTCACCCGGAGGCCTCAGCTGCACGCTTTGGGCCAAGAGGGCTAAGCGTCTCTGTTAGCCTGCCAAGTGAGGAGCTGGTTCATACGTGAGGCCAATCCACACACACCCATGCACGCACACGCGGCCAGAGTGCATGCAGCTGGCAGGCTTGCCAATCAGCAGTTTATGATGCTTGTCTGCCTGTCAGGAGCGCCATAAAGAGATCAAACCATGGTTGGTATTCAGAAACAATGCTGTTTTTATAAAGTCATTGATGTCACTTTAACAACATTTTATGAATTCTGAAAGGTTTAAAAAAATCGCTGTATAATATCAATAGCCCTGTCAGGGGTATTTGCTGAGCGTTTCGTTGAAGGAAAGACTCAAACAACAAAACGGTAAGCTAATTGGACAAATGTTTTGTCAATCTTTATCGACTGTAGCCAATCACATCAAGACAAGACAAGTCAGCGGGCCGTACCTGAAGCAGCTAATAGCTAAGGGGCCATCGTCTTTGTTTCTCGACGTCAAAGAAAAGCAAAACATGACTGAGAACAAAAAGAAGAAATGAAATATCTTAAATGTCTTTAAAATGAGATATACTACCCTTATCAATTAAAAAAAGAACTATTCTGAAAACGCAGACTATCAATCTGGAGCCCGGGATCTTGTGTCTGAAGTACGCCCCGAGTTTCCGGCTTTACTTCCTGATGGACGCTGATTAGTCCACACACTCGTGTGGCCACCATCAAGTACATGTTAATTTTCTTAATTTATTAATGATTTTTTTTTTATTGATAGGATACACAGTACTGCAGTGCAGAGTAATTGACTACTTTCACATATTTTAAAAATTCATCTTAAAAAAAAAAAGGATTGTGATTCTGGAAGTTTGTTGGTTTGGGTTACAACAACTTGCGGAGACAAAGTGCAGAATATACAAACTTAAATCAAAAGGTTTTAAAGAATATATATTTGTGTTACAAACACTAGACACCATCTGTTCGCATGACTTCCTTTAATAAACTCAAACAAAACATATATTACAAAATATTTGCTTTCCCCTTAGACACATGTGCTCATTTGAAGAGAACCGTGGACCATTATTAGAATAATTTTCTTCAAACGTATTATTTTCTTTATTTAGAAAATAACTGCACAAAAAAAAAAAAGAAAAAACATTTTTGCACACTCACACACAGGGAGGCAAAGAGTGGCTTCTTGATGTCCTCCAGGAAAAGCACTTAAAGTCTGTTTTATCACTAAACTTCATACTTCACCAAGCAGGAATGCTTGTTGCTGATCGACTTATTTTGTGTTTTAAAGAGCAGAGGATGAGCGCTATGTGCAATCTTAATAAGGCTTCTCACAAAACCGATTTTACTTTTTTTTTTAATTGATGGAAAGTACATAGCAGCATCAGAAAAAAACCAAACAAAAAAAAAAAGCATCCAGCCTTGCAGTTAGCACCATTCAGCTTTCAGGCGGAAGATGAGGGAGCTAAGCGAAGCGGTCTTTGCCGAAGGACTTTGCCCCATTTCCAGTGGCAGACAAATGCAAAACCTGCGTAACAATCACTTTTTAAAATAAATCGAGGAACTGAGCAGAACCAAAACACTTCCATCATATGATATCAGCAGTCCCTTTCCCCCAAGATGATTTTAACATTCACTTCATGTGTGTTCTCTCTCAGTTATGGAACTGGGGGGTTGGGGGGGGGGTAGTGCTCCGGGGCCTGGGTGAGCTGAAGTAGGGGATCAGTTGGTAGTTCCATGGGAAAACCGGAGGTCCTGATCCTTGAGGAACTGTGCTGCGTTAGAAGAATCACTAAGAGTGGTCGGGGCCTCCGCTGCGGGCGGCGGAGCCTTGGCTGAGCCCTCCGTGTTGGGTGACATACCCTCTGCGTCCGAAGAGGCCCCCACGTCCGAGATGAGTTGGAGGAGAGCCGCTGCCATTTCTGATGTGCTGATGTCCTGGCTCAGGCAGGGGGAGCTGGGAGCAGGGGGCAGTCCGGGTGGAGAGGGTGGACGCTGGTCGCCACGTGGGAGCGCAGGGCAGGTGCTTAACGGGTTCCTTTTGGACACATCTGAAAAGGACAACAAACGTTAGCCAACACTCATTTTTTCCCCCCCTAGAAAGGATACGAGGGCACATGCTGTAGTTCCTACCTTGACCACAAGAGGGAGCCATTCAAATGGATTACAACATGCATTACAACTTGTTAGTTTGAAAAGTCTTTCTATAATCATGTTAGTGTAAAAGAAAAGTGTTTTTAAAGTGAGCACCTATGTGAAAATATTTGCGTGAATTTGTCATTAAAAAAACTTTTAAAGCAGCAAGAGTGGGGAATGGGTGAGAAACAGGGATTGGACATGGACATGGTGACCACAATTGTGAGAAAGTTGCAGCACCCTCAAAACCAAATAAAAGGGTTACTGCTGTCTGTATTAAAAGTAATCGGCCGCTCATTCATGGCTAACCACATTCATTCTTGTTGAAGGAAAAAAAAAAAAAAAGTAAAAATGGTGTGTGGGTAAAAGTAAAAAGAAGCACATGCATGTAAGGTCTAAAGATTGAAAACATTTATTTCCACTTGATAACTTATGAGCGTGTAAAAAGGCGGACATGACAGTCTGAAGATTCCTGCTGCTGAAAGGTGTTGGGCGGGGGAAAATGTGATACAGAACCAATGAGTGTGAAGAAACAAGGAAAAGTGGGAAAAGGTGAGAGGGACGGGGATGGAAAAAAAAATGCGGACTTTTTTTTTTTTTACTTTCTACAAATGAATGACACTTGACTTTGTGGTGCGTTTATTGTGTACACCAGCCAGCTATATCCAAGTGCAGCAAACCGTCACCCCGGTAACATGAGGACACTTTTTGTTATATACATATGGGATTAAAAATTTTGAAATTTCAGGGAGTAAAAAAAGGGAACGAAATCATTTGCCCAATTAAAAATAATTATGCCAATAATTTCATCAGAACACACAGTACAGTAATCCCCCGCAGTATCGTGGGTCAACCTTCACAAAGTTATCAGGCAGGGGGTTCTTTTTTCTTTTTTTGAATGTAAGCTATCTCGATTCACTGAAAAACTTTGGAGCGGGTTTTTACACTTGACCACGAAGGGCTGCCTGTCGTAAACTGAGCGACACAATTGAACAATCGCGAACCAATTACTATGCGCAGCTAAATGAAAAAACAGCAAACCCTGGTGCTCTTTTTGGAGAAAAAGTTATTGTATCTCCAGTGATACTGAACTGCATATTTTGCGCAGGCACCCGCAGCGGCTCCTCTTGTTGTGAGAGGGAAGAAATTTCATCTGTGCTGTATGTTGCACATACAGCATATTTGACAATAAAGTTGTACTTGATACGTAATTGAACAACAAACGCGAGAAAACGGGCTTGACTACACACCCACACAGTGTAATGACTAAACAAGTTATCGATTATCAAATTAATGGTTAATTATTTCTGATAATCAAAGCGTTTGGATACTTTTATACCTTTTTATAATTTAAAATGTGTCCAAGTGCTCTGAATTTCAGCTTCACAACAGTAAATACTACGCAATTCCTAGTCGTTTGACTGATTATCGATTGATTATCTTTGTGTTGTTAAAAAAAAATAGAACATTCTCTCTCTCTCTCATAGTATTTACAGGTTCCTGAAAAGTGAAAGGTTTGAAGATAGGAGGTTTGACTGTATACGCACTGTAGTGGTAAGGCCCCCTGTGGCGGCTGACTGGATGTTGTTTGCTGCCTGGGAATGTAATTTTTGACGTTAAAGAACATGGTCTTTTCTTTTGGCCATTACGTTCGTGATGCGGCAATGCCGTTCAAAGCGGGGCTCAGTCCCTATCCCCCACAAATAGCGGGGGATTACTGTGTGATAATTCTGTTGATAGAAATCGAAAGTAACAATACTTTTCCTTGTCCTACTTAAGTTCCCAGTGACGACATCTGCCCGTGTCACCTCCTACAGACTAAAGCCAGACTTGCCCTTGCGCTCAGTAGTGGAAGCAGACGTAGCGCGCGTTAGAGCCTCCCCCGACTGGACGCCGTTGCTGCTCTCGTCGGCCTGTTCCTCGCCTTGCGGCTTCATGATGTGGCCCAGGATGAGCGCCAGCAGGTTAGCCTGCTCCTCTGGGAGTTGCGCCGCATCTCCGGAGGCCGGGGACAACTCGGGCGGCTCTGAGGCCGACGCGCCACCCTGGTGATGGTCGGAGGCCTCGCTGAGCGCCGACAACGACTGGCTGAGCGTCTCTGCGTTGGACAGGTTAAGGAGTTGGGAGACCTGCTGAAGGGAGAGGTCCGTCTGGCCTTGGAGGAGGTTGAGCAGCAGGGTCATCTCTGTCTGGTTCAGTTGCTCGGCGGCAGCTCCCAATGCTGGACCCACATTAGGAGATGCACAATCAACACAAGGTCTGGCTTATTTCTCATCCAAAAGTGGAAGGAAAAAAAAAGCAGTTTCCATCAACACAAAATTTTCTACACGCTGAACAATATTTTACAATGTAAACTATGTTTATTGAACATAATTTCCTATGGGAAATATTTACCTGACAAATCGTTGTCCTGAGCCGCAGCCGAGGGTGGCTTCCCCTGCGCAGGAGGAGGAGGAGGAGGAGGCGGCGGCGGGGGTGCCGGCGCTCCAGCCGGACTGGTTTGTGGACGACTGTTATCTCCGCTCGAGGTGCCTGAAATGTCCTTCCGGGGTGCTTTGGGGACGTCCTCGGGCAGCCCGCTCTGACGCGCACGCCGCCGTTTCTTGCTCCATAGCTCGTGGCAGTCTTGATGATGAGGAAGACTAAAGAGATGGCATGGGGGAAAAAAGCCCACCATTACAGATGCGAAGCACTCGACTGAAAGATAAGAGTCTAAGTCTACTGACTCTGGTGGCGGCATGTTGTTGGGGTCCACATCACACAGGAAGTCGCTGTTGAGTGCCCCTTCTGAAGTGCACCGGCGTGAAGGGTCCAGGGTCAGCATTTGGTCCAGCAGGTCAAGGGCAGAGGTGGGCAAGCTGTAAAAGACAGGGACGTGTCTTCCAGCCGTGCGATACATGACGAATGGTGTTCGGCGCAACTTTAGACAAGGACGTACAAAGCAAATTCCTCTCGCAGTCGCCGTCTGTACTGCTTCTTGGGCTTCATGGTGTTGAAGAGGGGCAGCTTGATAACATCAGGCCAGGCTGCAGGACAGGGGGAGCCACACAGCCGACTGAAAGGCGCATGCGGGCGCACACACAGACACACACACAAAGACAATAGTTACCAAACAAACAGAAGTTCTCGAAAAATTCAAACTTGGTGGATTCCATTTAAGGCCTAAAACTGATTAGAGATCGCAACCTCCAATATTATTGCAAGCTACTTGCCCGTTTCTCTGCACTAGAGGAAGCCTCAATATGACCTACCTGATGAGTTCCAGCTGCAGTAGCTCCTGATTGGCTTGAAAGATGGGCTTCTTGGTGAACAGCTCTCCTAGAATGCACCTGAGCCCCAACAGGCAGAGTTAAAAATCGTCAAAATGGAATATAGACTACGCAAAAAGATAAGACCTGCCATGGAAATGTTTTTTTGTAGACTTTACACTCACCCACAACTCCACACATCGATGGCCGGAGAATACCTCTCCTCGCCCAGCAGCAGCTCAGGTGGGCGATACCACAGTGTGATGACTTTGTTCGTGTAAGGCCGACTGGAAATACATAAAGTGTCAAAAAGAGTAACAGTGGCATCTAGTGGCGAGTCGATGGTACTGAAAAGGGAAGTCGACATGGTCATGAGGAAGCTTGATAATTTTTGATTACCTCTCTTCTGAATTATAAAGGCGAGCCAAACCAAAGTCAGCCAGTTTAATCTGCCCTCTGGAAGAAACACAAGAGCACATCTCATATTGGGAATAGGCGACAAAATATTTCCGCACTGCAGCAGCTTCTTGTGTGAGTTGTACCTGTTGTTGAGCAATATGTTGGAGCACTTGATGTCGCGGTGCAAGAAATTGTTCTTGTGGCAGTAGTCCAGACCCTCCATCAGCTGGCGCATGAAGCTGCGGATGTGCTCATGGGAGAATTGGACCATGCCCGACTCGAGCAGACCCATGAGGTCGTGGTCCATGTACTCAAAGACCAGGTAAAACGCTCCTAATTTTGTACAAATTGAAAAAAATAAACAAAAATTTTAAGCAAATCTCAACTGTGATCTTTTCTATGTGAAATTTGCATGTTCTCCCTATGCTTACTGAAGACTACAGGAGGAGGTAGCTTCAATATAAATAGAATATAAATACCTGTATACTCCTTGCTGTGGAAGTTCCAAAATTAAGACATTTGCATAGTTAACATCGAGAAGAAAACATTCTAACTTTGGAGAGCCGACCGATAGTCAAAGAGTCCAGATTACAGCTCGTCACAAAAAGTTGTTGATGGTTCACGATCATCTCCATTTAACTGATTTTTAAAAATCGAATTTATGCTAACATGTTGCATATCTGACCTGTTTCATTTGAGCCAATGCACTTTAAATCCACCCGACTGAAAGTCCACTGTTCACTCCAGTTCACAGACTCAATCATTGATTGTGACCTCTGGATACCGAAACACTCAGCAAACTGGTCTTATTTTTGGCAGCAACCTCTAAATATTTCAGCCAAAAACTTCAAAAAGGCAAGTGACACAGCGGTTTTTAGCCACTTACCTTTGTCCTTTTTAAAGTCAAGAGCATCCTGCTTGTCGGTGACGATCTCCTTCATATTGACGACACTGCAGTGTTTGAGCTGCCGCAAGATCTTGATCTCCCGGATGGCCGTGATGGGAAAGCCCTCCTTCTCGTTATCCAGGCGGACTTTCTTCAGGGCCACCAGCTCGCCTGGCGACAAGCATGTGTGCCAATTACGGCTCTGTGCATATCATGGATGACGACGACCGTCTTACCCGTGTCTTTGTCCTTGGCCTTGTACACCTGGCCGTAGGTGCCCTCTCCGATGATGCCGATGATGTCAAACTTATCGACGCATCGCTTGCCCCAGTCACTCTTGGTGTGTTTGCGCTCGCCGTAGCGAGGGCAACAAATCCTGCGGGCATTTACAAAAACAAAAAGTGGTTTGAGAGAATTCTGGCGTCTCAACCTAATATGCAACAAAATTCACAGTGTTAATATAATCAAGCAGAAATTGACCACAATTTGGCACAAAAATCGCACTTTTTTGATAAAACAATGTGAAACCGAAAAGAGTTGGCAACGATATCTCATGAAAGAAACTCACTTTGGTCTCTTTTTAAGGGCGGGCAGGGTGAGCGACAATCCCTGATGGGAGGCCAAATGGAGGGGTGAAGAGTCACCGCCAGGCAGGGTGGGCGGCAGCGGGAGGTCAATGATTGACGGCCGGCTGCGGGTTTCCTTCTCCTTTCTGGATCCTCGCTGAGGATAAGTGGACTTCTTTGGGCTGAACAAGAGAAAAAAATCGTTTTGTCCAAGCACAAAAGGAACTTGCAGCCATATTCATAACAACAACCAATGAAACAGTACAACACAATAATATTTATTACTGCTGTCAGGCCTTATAGTCGACGCCAATTTTCTCCTCAACATTTTTAGCCAAAAGACGACCGCTTAGATGACCTCGGGTAGCAATATTTATTCACACCAACCTAACCTATAGAATTCAACAAAATGAACTAGAAACTGGCTCTTGTCTACCAGACTACAATGAAATTTTTAAAATGTGAAACACAATTTTAAAGGATGATCCATCATTATGGATAATTAAGGCTCAATCATTTTTTTTAATAATTAGCTAAGAAGCTAATTGATAAGAAATTGGAGGCCTGTGTAGTCCTCACCTGTGTTGAGAGTTTCCCAGCAACAAAGGGGGCAAAGGCAGGGGCGGCAAAGTGGAAGTCTTGTGGAGCGGTGTCTGTCGGGCGGGACTCCGCGCGGGGACGGGAGCGGGCGATTTGGCTGGGGCAGAGGGCGCCGGAGGCAGAACTTTAGCGTCGACCTGCTGGGGCTTGGGTGGTGGTGGAGGCGGTGGAGTTGAGGAGGTTAAACCGGGAGCCTCGGTGGGTGATGGTTCAGGGGGAGCAGCTGGAGAGAAGGTGGTGGAAGCCGAAGGTAAAGGGTCAGCCGCTGGTTCTTCCAACATTGGTGCTTCCTGTGGTGACTGCACCGAAGGCAGTGACTGAGATTCCTTTTCTCCGGAGTCTTTTTCCTGTTGCGGCTCCTCCGCTTTAGGTCGTGAGGAAGAGGAAGAAGAAGAGGCTGAGGGGGCTATGGGTTTCTGTGTGGCGGGGGATGCGGCGCCGCTACCGCAGGCACGAGCCGCCGCCGCCTCAGCAGCCTGGCGCTCCTTCTTCCTGCGGCTGAGCTCGGCGCCCAGGCTGGAGTTGAGCGGCAGGCGAGTGGCAGGGGGGGGGCGGC